ATAGAGAGAGATGCTGTACTGAAAAACACATGGAATTTCTTACTGAAGTGACAGGGATCCAGTAATTTAGATAAGGAAAATTTGCAGAGAATTTCCAGAAAATTGGTCTGGTAATGTGGAATATGGAATAACTGAAAAATTTCATAAAGTAAGAATTTGAAGTGGGTCTTTTTATATGCACAGTTTAACTAGGAGAAGGAAAGTCACTATTTTTTGGACATTATTTCAGTGTGTTTCCTCAAGGTTCTTGTGTGAACTTGGCAATTACTGGTGGAACCCCTAAGAGGTACAGCTTAGTGGGAAGTAATTAGGTCACTAAGTTCCCCTTAAAAGGAAATGACACAGTTCTCATGGGACTCTGGCTGGTTTTCAAAAGATGGCTTTGCCAAAGATCAAGCCTACATCTCTCATCAGTCTCTGGCTTCTTGTATCACCACTTAATGTTTTCCTCTTGCTCATACTCTGGCAATGGTGCTATATGTCCTGAGGTAACACAGCCACAGGAGCACTCAAGGATTACACTATACATACTGTTTATAGACCTTCAGTCTCCAAAAGAGTAAAATAAATAAATTTTTCAGTTTACAAATTACCCAGGAAGGAACAACATGACTAAGCAGAATTGGAGGATTATGCTGCTGGTATGCGAAGGGGTCAGAAGAAAGAGAAAATAACTGTAAAAGCTTACCAGAGGTTAAAACATATAATGACACGGTCTAAGAATATAAAAAAATACAGAGACACATCAACAGAAAAGTAAAGGAAGAGGATAATCATACAAGTTTGGCAATGTCCAGATATTAAGAATAAAGGATCTGCATCTTGTACAGCAATTAACCACTAGGAAGAATGTATGCAATGTGTTAATTATTGAAACTGTCCTACCAATTTGGTTTGAAACTGTCTCATTGCTATTTGTTTATCAATAAAATTATGGGGGAAAAATAATAAAGGAATGAAACAGTCTCAATGACGTTAAGTGACAAACTATTAGAAGAAAAAAGCAAATCCCAGGGTCTGGAAACCAAGATGAAATGCTTTCTATTGGAGCTTAAAAGCTGTCAGGTTTAGATAAGAGCTGCTGCCAATCTGAAGGAATACTGAAACATTCAGGTATCAAGATCCAGTAGGCATGTGGCAAAATGAATCTAGGGCTTGGGTAAATGAAGAAACAGAAATAATGGTTTCAGAATACTCTAGAGAGAAAAGATACTAGATTGTGTTCTGTTTGAGAATACAACTACCTCTCTAACCACAAAACACAATGATATGAAATTTGGCATGCACTGGATCCCTTAAGAAAATAAAAATAAATGACAAAACAATAATGGGGATTACTAGTTTCTAGGATTAGAAGAAAAAAGAAACAAGGGAAGATAGCAAAAACAGTTATGGGGGAGAATGACAATATGCATTAGAGCTTAAAAGATATTTTTCAAGAAGTGTACAGTGAAATATCAAATGCACACACACACACAAGTCACTAAGAGAGAGATATAAAAGAGAGGGAGAGAAACAGATTTGACTCAGAGCCCAAGCCTGGCCTGTGAGACCGACCACCTGGGGCCTGCTGGATCCTCATTTGACCCAGGCCCAGCATGTGAGTGGGACCACCAGATCCTCAGTTGACCCAGAGCCCAGGTCCAGTGTGTAAGTAGGACCACCAGAGGCCAATAGATCCTCATTTGACCCAGAGCCCAGGCCCAGCATGTGAGTGGGACTGCCTGGGGCCTGCAAGATCCTGATTTGACCCAGACCCGGCCTGTGAGTGGGACCACCTGGAGCCTGCCAAATCCTCATTGGACCCAGAGCCCAGGCCCGGCATACAGACCAGGTGTGGAACCCTGTAGCAGAACTCCCTGCAAAGAGGCTAGAGGCAAGACCCGCCCAGCTGATCCAGGAGCAGAACATCTTGCCAGAGTGCAACGGAGGATTCACCTCCAAGGGCTGCAGGAGGAAGAAGTGGAGCACAGCAAGCAGAACGAAGTCACAACCACCTGGACAAGTCTGAACTTGAAAGATATGGACATGGTACTAAGGTAATAACTCTATCTAAGCTCTACACCAAAGGTCAGAAGACAGTGCTATATAAAATGACAAAGAAAAGGAGCAAAATGCATTCTCAGGCCCAGAGCCCAACCAAAACAAATTCAGGAGACACTAGCATAGAAGAAACTGGAAAGCACACACCTGAAATCTCTGAAATAGCGTCCGGAGTAAAGAAACAACTGCAGAAATGTATAGAGGAAATCAGATCAGAAATAATTTCTGAAGTACAAAAAGAAATGATAACTACAGTGAAAGAACTATTATGTGCTTCTAAAGACACTGATAAAAAAAAAGAAGAATAGAAAAAAATTAGAATCCCTGAATAAGCAATATAGGAAAGAAATAGAATGCATGAAGCATATTCAGTGATATACAAGAAATTAAGATCTCAATCACAAGCTGGCAAAACTGTTTGAATGAAAATGAAAATACTTTCAGACCTTGAAGACTAGATTGTAGCTAGTGAAAAGGTAAGAAAAGATCTCTTAAAAACAGCTAGGATGCAGGAGAAAATAATTCAACATCTGCAAGATGATGCAAAGAAGAAAAATGTAAGACTTATAGGCATCAATGAGAAAGAAGAAGAGCGAATACAAATGGAATAAAAAGTATCAACAGAAGTAACAGCAGAAAACTTCTCAAATATGGGGCAACAATCTGACATTCAGTAACCGAAGCATATACAACTCCAAATAACATCAACCCAATTAAAACACACCCAGACGTACAATAATCAAGATACCAGAAATTCAGCACAGGAACAGTATAAAGGAAAACCCATCAGAATAACAGCAGATTCCTCTTCACAAATCATCAAGTCAAGAAGAGCATGGAGCAAAGTACCTCAAATCTTGCAAGAAAACAAACTTCAACCCAGACTGATACACCCTGCAAAACTTCCTTTCAAGTATAATGGAGAAGTGAAATACTTCCATGACAAAGAACTAAAGAACTTCATGATGACACAGCCAAGCCTATACAGACTACTAAAAGATGTTCTAGAAAGGGAGCTAAATGACCACAACTCCATGAATGAGAATGAAAAGAATCCACAAATAGGGCAAACAAACACAGGAGAGTAAAAGGTATAAAAAAGCAGTCTATCAGTTATTCTTTTGTATACAGCAGCAAAATATTTCCCAAAAGCATACTACTCTACAAATGGACTTCTGCACAATATAGGTCATGATTCTATCTGGGTCTACAGGGTGGATATCAAGGAAATAGCAGCTGGCGCAGTCCCACAAGTGACACCTGGACACCAGTAAGCGTCATGGACACTGTACAGGTCCACAAAATACTAGAACTTAGTGCGATATCCTATCCCCAAACTGTTGGAAGTGCTGGTCATTTATTTGCCATTTCAGTCATGAATACTTTTTCTTAGTTCAACTGTTTTGAAACATTTAATTTTTATTAATATTTAATTTCTGAATATTTCTTAATCTTAATTTTTGTTTTAAGGTTTATACTGTATCTTTGACTTACAATCTACTTAAAAGACACGGTATAATATTTTCTCCCAGTATTAGAAACCTTAAAAAGTGTATTTCCATTTTCCATTGACTTTATATTACTTCTTCCTTGTCTTTTATACACACACACACACACACACACACACAAAATATGTATATAACCCGACATAAGATTTATACTGTTTTGTAGAAATCTTTAATGACCTTTTAAATGGGTTCATCTAATATATTTTACAGAGTCTTGCATAACTATCATTTTGAGAGCTCTTTCTTCTTTATCCAGGACCATACAGCAACTTCTCTTGCCTTCTGAATTATGCTCTTTGTTATTTCCTATATGCTACGTCTGGAGGTATTTGAATTTTTTGAGTTTGTATAATAGGAAAATAATTTACTTTTAATTTTTAAAGGTATGTTTGCTAAGTATAAAATTCAAAGAGGATGATCTTTTTTTCTTCTTTCAGACCTTTAAATTAATTACACACTTGGTCTTATACACTCTTTTTCTAATGTACAATAAGATGCTATTTAATTTTGTTCTTCAATAGCTAATATTTTTATGTATATGATTTAATGATTTTTTTTCTTTACAATAAGTTTTAGACAATTTCACTTCTCTTTATCTTGGTATGATTTTATTTAAATTTCTTGTACAAAAGAAATTTGCTTGGAAACATGGTGTTATACGTTCAGCTAAATTCAGAAATTTTAAATCTTTAAATATTTATTGCCTAACCCTTTCTACTTTGAGAATTCTAATTATCTGAATATAAGTTTCTTGATTTTGGCATAGAGTGAACTATTACATGACTGATCTGTAAATTCTTCATTTTTATTTTGGACAATTTTTATTGTTATATTCATCTAAGTCTGTAAATTATTTATAATGTGCAATCTATTATTAATCTCATGCTATACACTGATTTCAGAAATAATTCTATAAAATTCACTGTCTACATCTTATATCTTTCACATTTCAATATTTGTCTACAATTTTCAATATGCTAGGTAATTACTGATTTTCAATAAAGTCAATGAAAAAATATATATGTGTGTGTCACAGAGTTACTCTTACACCAAAAGGAACAATACAAAGAACCATGACTTTTTTCAAGAATAAATTAAGAAATTTTAACCTCCTTTTCATAGAATTTCACTTATCTGTATCACTCATAGCACCGATAGCAAAAGTATTAATCCTCAGTATATTTAATCTCTATGAAATATACAACTGGAAATAAAGTCACTACAGTAGTTTAGCTGCACAAAAGTGAACATAACAGACAAAAGTAAAAAGAAGTTGGGATGGGGAGATAGCTCAACAGTGTAAATGTCTGCCTGGCAAGTGCAAGGTTCTAAGTTCAATCCCTGGTAGCAAAAAAAAGAAAAGAAAGTAAAAAGAAGCAACTGAAGAAAAAAAAAAAAAATCATTTAATTAGGAAAGCAACAAAAAATATAAAATATCAGACGTTCTACCTTAAATCTCTTGTCCTGTAATACTTTCTTGATAGCAACCAGTTCTCCGGAATCACAGAGCTTGGCTTGATATACCACACCAAATGATCCATTTCCAATCACTTTAGTGTCTGTATAGCTGACTTCTTGTGGCCTGTCTGGACCCTGCCCAGGAGTTGCCACCACTGTGGTAACCTTGCTGCCATCTTTGTCTCCTAAAGGAAAGGGATTAAAAAAAATGAAAATGAGAACTGTATAGAATTATACTGAGAAAATTGCCAAGGCATACAAAATAAACTACTTATGTTCTTTACTATAAATTATTTTAAATGCTCATCTCTATCATATAGAATTATTTTAGTTATGTTTAAATTATAAGAAATTTTTAACCACCATCTATTCAATAATCCTTTATATTAGACATCATGGTTAATTTATATACATGACACAATTTGCTCAAAAATCACCACCTCAAGATGCTATACCAGTGAAGGCAGATATTTTAGCCCTTTCAATGATACAAATGGCCTACTGCAGCATGTGCGCCACAAGTTTGCCACAACTAAACTACACAGTTCTGTTCTACATTAAAAGTAATGGGGAGAGCTGGGGAGATGGCTCAGTGGAATAAGCACTTCCCTGGCAAACGCAAGGGCCTGAGTTCAATCCCTGGTTCTGAAAAAAAGAAAAAAAAAAAAAAAAAAAACACTTAAAAGTAATGGGGAAAATGTTAAATCTGCCCAAGACCAAATTGCAAATGGTGGACCAGTCAGGGTTTGCCCTTATATATAACTCTAAAGGTCCTAGTACTTTTATCAAAAAGCCTTTTTATATTTAAAAATAAAATACATGCAAAGTAGTAATTTCTAAATATACCAACTATTTAGATCATTCTATATTTAGGAAAGTAAGTTTTGGGGTTTTTGTTTTTGTTTTTGCTTATCATTTCTTTTTAGCAAATTAGTAACAATCTCGCAGAAACCACCACCGAACTGGGGTTCACGAGTACAAAACTTTTAAAATCAATCCCACTCTGAATTGAGCCCCTTTATAATAAGCAGATTACTTTATTAACCAGTCCTCACAGTCTCTCTCTGTTTGCCTTCTCCTTATCCCTACCAATAATTCTCTCTTCAATTCAAACTCGAGAATTACCTTGACTAAGCAGTCTGCAATCATCTTGTTTCTAAATTCTCAAAACTATTTTGAACTATACTGGGCTAGCTAGCACCTGATTTGAAAAAGCTTTAAATTGTTTTATTTTTTTAAGAGTACAAATTAGAATTAAAACAGAAAAAATTACAAGTGATACAGATTTTTACTTAACAAAGTAGTATGAATTTCACAGTATTTATTGTAATACATAGTGTTATCTTCCAATAAGTTATTCATATTACCAGATGTATGCATGTAAAATTGGAAGAAAAAAAGAAATGTATAAGAAATTAAAGACAAAAAGGAGAAACAACTGAAAAGGAGATGAAACAAATTAAAAGCATTAACTGCTGCCTCCCATAGACCAGCAGAAATGCACAGTACAGTTGTGCAAACCATCCATCTTACATACACAAGTAAATTTCTTTCCTCAACTCCCTTTCATGTCCTTCTCAAGTCAGTAACTTCATTTGAATAAGTTCATTTCCTTTTACCAATGCCTACTGTACTCTTCAGATTCCATATTTCTCTTGCAGGTTCTCACACTAAAGAGACAGTATCATGTTTGCACATGCAGGTCTGATTTATTTCACTTAAGAGTATGTTCTCTAAATTGCTCATTTAATGACCTCAGAATATAAACAAGTTCCACAGACTGTAGTCACTTTGAAACAGCAATACAGCATGTCTCCTGATGTTTTTCACTTTCTTGGCAAATCTAAAATCAATTCTCAATACAAGTCTCCAGGCTTACTTACTGAACTATATTTTTCTTCCTCTATTACTTTTCCACTACATCAATTTTATGTTTAAAATGCTACCTTAACTCATACTAACCTAATTAAATAAAAATGTACTTATGAACAAGCATAACTATGTTTCCAGATCTGACTACAAATCCTCAGTTATTTTCTTCCTCATTTATAAAATGAACTTTTGTATTTTATCATTCTTTAAAAGTTATAATCTTTTGAATTTAAATGCTAAGAGATTTAAATAGGTCTAATCCAGAAAGATCAAAATCTACAGTTTCAATATTCTTATACTGCAACTATCCCAAGGAAGATTAAAAAGCAGATGATTTTAAATTAAATTTGGGTTAGATTTCAGTTATTTAAGTTTAAATCACATCTCACACAGAATCAAGAATTGTGAATTAATAATTACATTGCACAAACTGCTTGCATAATCTTACTGGCTTAATTTACAAAACAAAGCATCATTATCTTAAGGTAACTTAAGAATGGCTGCTGTTATGTGTGTAGTTATCCCCTCAAAGCCTCATTGGAGGACAGTTCTAGAGTTTGTGATTAATTCATAATCCAAGACTGGGATTCGGGGTCTGAGTACTACACCCATGCTAGGACAGATAGCCTGAATAAAAGGAAATGAGGGAGGCTTGCCTTTCTGCTACTGCTGCTGCTGCTCCTCCTCCCTTTTGCTCTTGCTGTTTTCCACTGCCATGAATTGCTGCCCTCTGCCATGTGCCACTCTGCCTTGGAGCCAGCCATGTATGGACTGAAACTTCCACAAACTGTGAGCTAAATAAACCTTTTCTTCCTTAATTCTGGATGTTGGGTATTTTCTCCAATGAGAAAAAAAGTAACCTAGACAGCTACTTACTGTGCCCCACAATTTCAATGGAAAACAAAACCTTTTTGCACTTCAATGAAAAATTATGCTTTTCTACTGTACAATGATATTTCAATTAAACACACACACAATCCATGGCTATGTATTTACCTCTTTCTTCTAGAGAACTTAAACAATATCAGCATTTGTAATGACTTGATTCTCTTGTCTTCTCAGACAGACATTTCTTTTTTCTTTTTTTTTTTTTTTCAGGTTAGGTTTCCAATTTTAAAAAAATCTTTTATTTATTTATTTATTTGGTACAGGATCTCAAGCAACTCAGACTTATGGTGATCCTCATGTCTCAGCCTCCCCAGTGCTGGAATTACAGCAGTGCAGCACCACACCCAGTTTCAGAGTGCAAGCATAGCTTGTGGGACAGGGGATCAAACCTGGGTCACTGTGTTTGTCAAACAGGCACTTAAACTGCTAAGGTGTCTCCCTAGCTCCAAGATATATTTCTAAAAAATCTTTTTAATGTCAAAGGTTTGAGAAAAGGAACCTATGGAAGACAATATACCACAAACACAGAGTTCAGCATATGTCCATTCTAACCACTAATCATTGGAAAATCTACCCCAGAATTGTGACTTGAAAAGGAGAAAAAGCAGAAAGGAAATAATTCTGCTAAAACAGTAAAAACAGGGATCTACTTCCAAGTTCTCTAAAGCCTTAGTTTCAAACTAAGATTTTGCTGGGCACAGTGGTGCACACCTGTAATCCCAACACTTAGGAGGCTGAGGCAGGAGGATCACTGTGAGTGCAAGCCTGGACTACATAAGCAAGTTCAAGGTCAGAATGCACTATATACAATGCAACCCTATCTCAATAAACCAAAACAAAAAGAAAAAAGGGAAAAAAAATTCCTCACGGAGAGTTCATGTGAAGGACTCTTGTCTACCTAAGGAGAAAAGTACTTACTATCTATCTCAGTTACTCTTCTCTCTTTGCTGAGACAAATACCCCACACTCACAATGAATGAATGAAAGGTTTATTTAGCTCACAGTTACTGGAGGTTTCAGCCCATACTTAGTGGGCTCCAAGGCAGATTGACATATGGCTGAGGGCAGTGGAAGGCAGCAAAACAGCAAGAGCAAAAGGAACGAGTAATAGCAACAAATGGCAAGAAAGCAAGTCTGTCTCTCTTACGTTACATTCAGGCTATCCACCCCGGGCTGGGCATAGCACTCACACCCATAATCCCAGCCTTGGATCATGAATTAATCACAAACTATAGAACTGCACCTCAATGACATGAGGCTTTGGGGAAGTCAAATGCACACAAACCATAACACTACCTTAATAGGAATTAAAAGATATACTCTATTTTCTCTGAAGCAGTTCAAAAAACTGCACAGATGTCTTATAGGTTATCCTCTTTAATAAAAAATGTTATACCAGGACCAATAACTCTCAGGCTTTCTATAGAACTGAAGCATCCTCAAATTTTTAATTCCAAAATTAGGCTCTTTAAATTGTTCTATCAGGGGCTGGGGAGATGGCTCAGTGGAATAAGCGCTTCCGTGGCAAGTGCAAGGGCCTGAGTTCAATCCCTGGTTCCGCAAAAAAAAAAAATAAAAATAAAAAAATTGTTCTATCAAAGATCTGAAATACCAGAGCTGAAAAGAATGGCAAGGCAATGACTTGTATGAATATTACCAGCACAGGCAGTCAGTAGCAGGTGTTGTCAGGCTTGTTGAAAAACAAGTCACCAATTAGCATTATAACTGTACAATTTAGCAATAAGGTAATTGAAAAATTATCATTGTTTATAAAGAATTTTCCCATTGTTTCACCTATCTTAATACTTATAAAAGCATAAATGTATGTCTGCTGTGCAAATGAATGACTAAGATTAATATATAAAACTTTAAACACCTTATATGCTTCTAATATATTTTACAACTTTCCTACTACTGCTGAAAGACTAACTCCATGTGCTTTCCCATATTTCCCAAATAACATAAAAGGTTAGGAAAGAAATGAGTGAACAATCTTTAAAATGTTCAAGCCTCCACTCTGAATTCCTTACCAGCAGGAGAGCTACTTACAAATATACTTTGGTACAATTAGGTTTTCAAACTTATCCCAAAGCAAAAAGCGCATAATAAAATTTTTAAAATAAGTGCTTCTTGGACATCCAAATAATTAAACATTTGCCACTACAAATTGGATTTTTGAAACACAATAGTGAACTACTGCTTCCAAGAGACCAAACACCTCATGAAAACTTACAAATCATAACAAATTTGTCTCATTAAAAAACCACTTTGCCTAATGCTAAATTTCCAAGAACACATGGTACAATGATTCTCAGACTATTTATATGATGCCAGTTATTAGGATAAAATTAGTCTTGAAAAAAAAAGAAAAAAGCCACTATTCCTCAGGTACTACAGTAGAGGCGATTAGCTCAGCTCCATGCCT